CCTAGTCCCTTTGGGATTGGTGACGTCGAGAGTCCAGCAGCTGGCTAAGGGTGTGGAAGGAGTAGGAGAATCATCTTCTAAGGAACTATCTATGAAACAGAGACGTTTCTCAAACCAAACAAATGCAGGATCGGCGGCGGCTGCAGAAAGCAGCCCTCGCCGGGCACAATGAAACTGTTGAATTTGAACTGCTGGGGCTTGGGGCGGCCCGAGACAGTTCAAGAAATCCGTAGCCTCATTCGATGCATCGCCCACTAGTGGTGTTTCTGTCAGAAACAAGGTTTTTCAGCAATAATGTGGATGGCCTGAGAAGAGATCTCGGCTTTCCTAATGGTGTTGGGGTTGGCAGCTTTGGCCGGGGGTGTGGGGAGGTTTGGCGCTCCTCTGGTCGCTCGATGTTTGTGTGAGGCTGGAATCTTATGACAAACTTCACATAGATGTGGCGGTGGTGGATCCAGCATCTGGTGTTGATATGTGGCGCTTCACCGGCTTCTATGGCGAGGCTCGGCGAGAAAACAGACACCGTAGCTGGGAACTCATGCATTTCTTAAGCACCCAGAGTTCTGCCCTGTGGATTTGCGCGGGAGATTTCAATGAAATTCTAGGTGCTCGGGAACAGTTTGGCGGGGTAACAAGACCTGAACGACAGATGGATGGTTTCCGAGATGCTGTGAATGAGTGCGGATTCACGGATCTTGGATTCTTTGGGTTGCCCTATGCTTGGGACAACCGACAATAAGGAGATCAGAACATCAAGGTTAGGTTCGACCGTGCGCTTGCTAACCAAGCTTTCACTGACATGTTCAGGGATATCAAGGTGTGGCATGTGCAGACAACCGAATCTGATCATTGTTGTTTGATCATTGAATGTTGCCGGAATAGAAAGGGACGACGGCGACGAAACTTCAGATATGAAAACATGTGGCGCCGAGATCCCTCCTATTTGCGCTTGGTGGAGGACTCTTGGAGATGCAGGTGCCGTCCAGGACCTGGGACAATTGCAATCGGTGCTGGGACGGATGCAGTTCTCTTTTCAGGAGTGGGAGAATTCTGTGTTTGGCTCGGTCAAGAAGGACCTTGCGAGACTACGCCGTGAGCTAGAGGATGTGCAGCGACGATCTCTATACGTTGGCCCTTCCCAGCAAGAGAGACGAATTATGACCAGAATTTCCGAGCTGCTGGCCAGGGAGGAAACCATGGAGAAGCAGCGCTCACGAATTTCTTGGCTCAAGGAAGGTGATCGGAACACTAAGCTCTTCCAGGCCAAAGTTAAAGAGAGAACCAAGGCCAATCAAATTGTTGGCCTGCGGTCACCAGCAGGTGTGCTGGTCACAGAACAAGGGGAGCTGGAGAACATGGCTGCTGAGTTCTATAGGGACTTGTTCACGGCACAGGAGGTGTCGTATCCAGATGAGGTCCTATCCCATGTACCGCAGCGTGTTACGGCTGAAATGAATGAATCTTTGGAGTCACCTTTCACAGCTCAGGAAGTTGAGCGTGCTCTTTTTATGATGGGTGCCAACAAGTCACCGGGGCCTGATGGTTTTACAGCAGGTTTCTACCAGGCGCATTGGGGGACTGTTGGCCAAAGTGTTACAAATGCAGTGCTTGATTTCCTAAATGGTGGGCAGCTACCTGAAGGTATCAACCAAACGACTCTTGTGCTAATCCCGAAGGTTAAGCATCCTCAGGATCTAAAGATTTTAGGCCAATATCGCTGTGCAACGTCATTTATAAGATCTGCTCCAAAATTCTTGCTAATAGACTTCGGGTTTTCCTAGATGAGATCATTTCTCCAGAGCAGAGTGCCTTTGTTCCGGGGCGGCTGATCATGGATAATGTGCTTGTTGCTTATGAGTGTACGCATTACCTCAAGAGGAAGAAAGGAAAAACCGGGGCGTGTGCAATTAAATTGGATATGGCGAAAGCATACGACCGGGTGGAATGGAACTATTTGCAGGGGATCATTACCCAGTACAGGTTACGGTGCGATGGGTTAAGGACATGGCTTTCGATCTCTGGCAAATTGCTCATCCACCTAAAATCCAGAGACTGACTCCAACAGTTTGTCAACAATGGAGGAAGCCAGACCCTGGATGGTTCAAATGTAATGTGGATGCATCTTTCCATGACGGTGATCGTACAGGAGCAACAGGAGTGGTTCTCCGTGATCATGATGGACGAACGTGCGGGGCTTCGGCCAGATGGTATGAGCACTCTCTGAATGCCCTGGCAACTGAAGCAATGGCGTGTCGTGATGGCATGCAGTTTGCATGGGGAAGAGGGGTGCGGAAGCTACTGATGGAGACTGACTGTCAGGTTCTGGTGAACCTGTGGGAGAACAGCGCGATGCAAAGATCGGAGATAGATCCTTTTATGCACCAAATGGCGGAACTAAGCCGGAGCTTTGAGTTTTTCAGCTTATGCTTTGTTACTAGAAAATGTAATAGGTTAGCTCATGAGTGTGCTAAATTGGTTTCTCATGGCAATCCGGTGGATGAGTGGCTGTTAGCTCCACCAGGCCTACGAGTTATCATTGATGATGATTGTAACCTTGCTCACGGCTAATATAAAGCTCCGGTTAATCTCAAAAAAAAAAAAAGTTCTGGCATAAAACAAAGTTTCTGTTTAATAAGTAGATAGAAAACTTTATTTTATATACGCTGTGTCACTAACTTTCGACTAGCCGACCTAATTTGGTTGTTGAGTTTTGCCGAATCTAAATCTACCTAATATTATAGAACAAAAAATTATGCCTATTTCCCCTAACGACTTTTGCTCACCGATTCGGCTCCACCAGCATGGACGACAGGATCGGACCAAATCGAACACAAATTTCTTACCGTCTGACACATGGACTTCGCCGCGCGAGAGCCCAATCCCGCATGACCAGGAGTTTCAATCCTAAAAGAAAAACTACCAATCTCAAAAGAAAATCAACGAAATACAAGAAAAGTCGGTGTTCATCGGCCGTGCTCGATCCAAACACAGCATTGGTATTATTATTCAACTTAATTACACATATATTTCACCAGCACCCAGAGATTACTAAAACTTATTTAATTAATCTAGACACGGAACATGAAACGTAGATTACCGAAACTTAGAACATGAAACGTAGATTACCGAAACTTAATTAATCTAGACACGGAACATGAAACGTCCCTAGCAGCAGCAGCAACTACTCCTCGTCGTCGTCGCGCCGGCCTTCTTCATCCGCCGCCGGTGATTCCGGCGCCGGTGTCAGAAGTAGCGGGCTTCCGGCTTCCTGCGGTAGGCCTCCTTGTATCGTCTCTGGCGTCGTCGATGCCGTGCTCGGCGAGGCCTCGGATGTTGGGACCCTGTAGTTCTGCGCCATGTTCGCGCCCACCACCGTGCCAAGCAGGAAAGGGAACAGCCGTCGCACCAGGCAAAACATGCTGCTTTCTTGTTAGCTCTGCTAGTTCCGCTGCTCTCGGCTTTCTTGTTAGCTCTCCTAGTTCTTTTGGGATTGGTAACTCCAGATAATTCTGGTGGCATGATGAGCGCAAATCTTTCTGGGGTAATTGTGAGGCATGGATACATGGTGTTCACACACGTCGCTGGAAGCGCCCGATATACTAGACATGTCGGCGAGGTCTCTTAAGATCTGATATATTGATAGGCTCAGATCATGTGTCGTCGATCAACTTTCACCCCCCTTTTTATATATATATATATATATATATATATATATATATATAGTGGCTGGTCTTCTCTAAAACAAAGGCCCTCGCTGAAAAGACATGGCTGAAAGTACTGTTCGCTGATTTAATGTAAGAAAAAAATATTATTTCTTCGCTGAAACAGTACGGTTCATAGCCCAAGCTAACAGGGCCAAAGTCTGGACCGAACCTGATATGCAACCGTGCGAGCATGCAAATATTGCACGTTCCTTGGACTTGACCACGTAATAGATCTGTTTTTTTTTGTCTTTCTTCTGTTAAAAATAGCAACGCCTTTCGTCCAACCTCCGTGGTGCGCGCGCGCCCTTTGCGTTCGTTGCCCCATCCGATCTTTCTTTCTTTAGCAGTTCCGATGCCGTTCGGTCCCGCCTAATAGAATCGGAGATTTTCATGATCCTTCAATCACCGTCCACAAGATAGCCTCTTTCCTTCATCGATAATCACCTCGTATAACTTGACGAGTCCGCATTCCATGGCGACGGACATGCACGCAGCGCACGTTCGCGTATTCAGGCGGTGTGTCGTCGATGGAGCTGTTCCTGCACAAGTTCTCTCCTGACGTGTAACATCGCAAGTTCGCTGCTGACGACCATGGCATGGCCTTCAGGTCGTCCCTGCTGCAAGTGGCGAACCTGCTGACCACCTGGCGTCACGGGTCACGGCGGGGCGCGGCCGCAAATCTTCCATGGTCCTGGGCGGCGCCGCGTCAACCCTCGTGAGCAACGCAGAGGGCGTCTCGGATCCGCCGCTCCGGTACCCTGCCGCGTGGGATGCGAGTGCGCCTCCGGCGACCTGCGCCGAGCGTGGTGAGGGCGGGTCGGTGAAAATGCACCGGTGAAACTGATACAACCGAGCATCGACATAGTCTGCTACATCCTTCCTGAAAATCTCAAACCGTACTATACAAAAGAGTAAATTGCACTGTGGGTATCTAAACTATTAGGTGTGTAACACATAGGTATTCAAACAAAAAAACGTAACTCGTAGGTACTGGATCTACAAGTTTGGCTATCCAACGGTACTCGCGCGGAAAGGACCCAAATAAGGCTGGACATCTCACGCGGGCCTCTAGGCTGTTTTGCGAAAACCCCCCCGCTGAATCATCTCCTTCTCCTCATTCTCAGTCCTGTGGCCTTGAAGCTCTGTCTCCCTCTCTCGCCGCCCGTCTGCCATCACGCCGCCCGTCTGCCTCCCACTCTCGCTTCCCGTCCGCCGCATTGAGAGGGTGAGGTCCGCTGGGGGGTTTGCCCCGCCGCATCCGGTGCGGTGAGGCGCGGTGCGCGGCGGCGCGGCACCATGGCCGGCGTCCGTCGATTGGAAGGAGCACCAGCACCAGATTACGGTCAGTGCCACGAAGGCTACTCTCCTGTCCATGTAGTTCATTCTGGATCATTGTGGTGTCGTAATGCTTTAATTTGATGTAGAGATAGGTTTCTTGTCGCAATGCTCTGAAATTTAGGGTTTTGTTCACTGTTTAGGGCCTGATGAGGAGTTCTCTATAGAAGTTCATCATGGGGGATTTTTCTATGGGTCTGTTAAGGATCAGGTTTATCTGGATGGCAAGGTGGATTGGTTTGACAATTGCAAAGTGCAGCACTAGCATTTTAGTTCAATTCAAGAAATCAGTGTGATGCTAGGTTATGGAATTGAGAAGCTCACTGTTCTCTGGTTGTTGCCTGAGATGGTTGTGCCTAGTGGTTTGAGAATTATAGATTCAGATGCAGAAACACTCATCATGAAGCAAGTTGCATACCATGTTAACAATTTTGTGCTCTACTTTGATATCTACAAGTCATTCAAGACATCTGACTGGGATGACAATGTGGTCAATCCAGGGAAGCCAGCAGCTGAAAGGCATGATGATGATGATGGGGATTTTGTGGCTAGTGACAATGATGGTAGTGTGGATGGGGATTTTGTGGATAGTGATTATGAAGTTGATCATGAGGATGATGATCTTTTCTGGGACAATATTGATGATGGGGTGGTTGATGAGGGGGCAGGTATGGGCATTGTAGTCAGCAAAGGGTACAAGAGAAATGCCCCAGTTGGCAAAGAGAACATGGCAGAAAGGCAATGGGATGAGATATCAACTGATGAGGATGAGTTGGAGTTACCTGATTCTAATGGAGAGGGTAAGATTGGGGCTAACATGTCATCCTTCAGGCCAGAGGATATTGAGAACCCAATTTTCAAGTTAGGAATGAAGTTTGATTCAATAGAACTGCTTAGAAAGGCAATTTCAGAATACAGTATCAAAGAGAGGGTGGAGATAAAGATGCCATGGAATGACAAGAAAAGAATCAAAGCTCATTGTGATGTAAATTGTCCATGGTACTTGTATGCTTCTTGGGACACAAGGATGAGTTGTATCATGATCAAATCTTTTGTTGGGAATCACACATGCCAGAAGAAGTGGGAACTGAAGAGGTGCACCGCAAAGTGGCTTGCTAACAAGTACTTGGATAGGTTTAGGGCTGATGAGAAGATGAGCCTGACCAATTTTGGGAAGACTGTTCAGCTAGAAATAAACCTGACCATTTCTAGGATGAAGCTGTGTAGGGCAAGAAGGAAGGCATGGGAGATCATTTATGGGGATGAAGTGAAGCAATTCAATGAGCTGAGGAATTATAGGCATGAACTTAGGAGGATAAATCCTGGCAGTACCTTCTTTCTAACATGCCTTGATGGTTTCTTCAGTACACTTTACATGTCTATGGATGCATGCAAAAGAGGTTTCCTCACTGGTTGCAGGCCTGTTATCTGTCTAGATGGCTGCCACATCAAGACAAAGTTTGGAGGGCAGCTGCTAACTGCAATAGGTATAGACCCAAATGATTGCATTTTTCCTTTGGCCATAGCAGTGGTGGAGGTTGAGTGCCTAGCATCATGGAAGTGGTTCTTAGAGACACTGAAAGAGGACCTTGGCATAGAAAACACAACTCCTTGGACCATCATGACAGATAAACAAAAAGGTCTTATCCATGTTGTTCAGCAAGTGTTTCCTGAGTCAGAACACAGGTTCTGTGTTAGACATCTGTACCATAACTTCTCAGGCCAATTCAGAGGAGAGAACTTCAAGAATCAGCTTTGGAGGTGTGCAAGAGCTAGTACAGTGGTGAGGTGGAACCAGGAGATGGACAAAATGAGAGTTCTCAGCAAGGATGCCCATGCATGGTTAGAAAAGATGCCACCAAACACATGGGTTAGGGCTTTCTTTAGTGAGTACCCAAAGTGTGATATCCTCTTGAACAACACTTGTGAAGTTTTCAACAATTACATAGTGGAAGCCAGAAAATTGCCTATTTTGAGCATGCTACAAAAGATCAAGGTCTAGCTTATGACCAGACACTACACCAAGCAGAAAGAGGTTACTGAGAAGTGGGGACACATGGTCATATGCCCAAAAATTAGAAAGAAGCTAGCTAGGCATGCAGAGATGTCCAACACATGCTACCCATTACCTAGTGGGAGTGGAATTTTTTAGGTTCATGATAGAGAATGGAAGTATGTTGTGGACATTGCAGCTAAGAAATGTGAATGTAGAAGATGGGACTTGACAGGCATACCATGTAGTCATGCAATTGCTTGCCTTAAGCATGAAAGAATTCCAGAAGACTCAGTGCTCCCACACTGTTACTCCATTGAAGCTTTCCAGAATGCATACAACTTCCAAATTTTTCCATGCTCTGACAAGACTAATTGGCAAAATGTTGGAGGCACAGAAGTGAAGCCACCTAAATATGAGAAGAAACCAGGTAGGCCAGCAAAGGCAAGGAAGAAAGCACCACATGAACAACAAGGCAGAAATGGACCAAGGCTATCTAAACATGGAGTAACAATGCACTGCAGTCACTGTGGAAAACCTGACCATAATGTAGCAAGATGTGCAGCAAAGGAAGCAGGAGAACCAGCTGTCCAGAAAAGGAAAAGGTCAGCTGTTCAACAAGCACATGAGGAAGCAAGGCATCAAGAAGAATATCAGGTATGTGCAACCAGGCTGTCCCCTTTATTTGGTACAAAATACCTATTTTCACTAGAATCTGTGTTTCAGGAGGTCTATACTGCAGAAGCTGAAACAGAAGCAACCATGTCCCAAGTAGACAACCCTATGCTGTCTCAACTACTGGATGAGGTACCACAACTCTCTTATTATCATCATTTTTGTTTTTGGCCCACACAATTTAGCTTACAAACTTGTTTGGACCCTTTCCAGGCCTCACAGACTATGAGACAGCATCCAGTCAGTCAACCTATACCAGATTCAGCCTACATCGTTTCCAATGTTCCACTAGCAAGGCAAATTCAGATGACAACGGCTACCAAAGCTGGTGGACATCAAGGACCAAGAAAGCAGTGAACCAAAAAAAGAAGACAGTGAATGCCAAGAAAGGTCCAGCTGGACAGTAGGAAGGATTATGGAGTGTGTTGATGCCCTTTTGTACATCACAGATAGTTGGCTTTTGTCGAGCAAATACAGTTGCCTTTTGTTCAGCAGCTGAAGTTTGCCTTCTTTTGTGCAGTGATCATATAGGTATAGGTCATATGCAGCTAGTATGGTGTAGTGCACTGGTGGGTAGGATGTGTACTGCAAGCACCAAAACTGAGATGTAATGGATGCTATTTTAGTGACTATATATGTCACTAGGTCAACCTCTAATGTAGGATGCTATTTTAGTGACTATATGTCACTGGATCAATCTCTAATGTATGGATGCTATTTTAGTGACTATATGTCACTGGATCAATCTCTAATGTACGGATGCTATTTTAGTGACTATATGTCACTGGATCAATCTCTAAATGTTGGCAAATGTGAATTACTCTTGTTTTTAGGTGCCTGTGAATTACTCATATTTAGGTGCCTGTGAATTACTCTTGTTTTTAACTTGCCTTGCCAAATGTTGCTGTCAAAATTTCCTGTGAAAAAAGCTATTTGAGTTCACTTTGTTCAGCTCACATCTGTCAATTGTATTCACTGAATAAACACCAATGCATCACAATTCAATGAGCCAAAATGATTTGAATGGACAAAACACATTCCATTTCATTGCCAAACTGATTTGAATCAGGTTCATTGCACCAAATTTGCATTACAATTCCTACTCCTACTTGAGCATCATGCCGATGACACCAACAGCAACAAACACTAAAGCAACCACACAGCACACAACTCCAATTTGACCTAGGTCTACAAGTTTCTTCAGCTTTGCATCCAAACCAGCAATCCCACTCTTCAGTGCCTCCACAACATGTTCTTCTCCCTGCAATCCTCCAAGTTCATCATGATTTACAACAACTTGTTGTTCATGGCCTCCCTCTCTGGTGCCTCCAATCAGTCCCCTTGCAACGAGCAAACGTTCATACTTGTCTTGAAACAAGAACCACGGGCACGTTCCTGGCACCTGCATCACAAGGCAAATTGTTCACCACATCACAAGGCAAGAACACCAATCCTACAGCAAAAAATGGCACTATGCACTTACATCTCTTTCATGAAAGCGGCATTTGAAGAAAACGGCCCCAGGGACCTTAGATCCAGGACCACAGACGAGCTCCAAGACCTTCGCACTGCATGTGGGGCAGGGCACAAGCGGCAGCCCAGTCTTCTCCCCGCGGTCCGCCAGGCGCTGGTAACCAGAGCTCCCAGCGCCGCTATGGCCGGACGACGCTCGCATGACGACTTGGGGGAGGGTGCGGCGGCGAGCTTAGGGAGATGGATCTGGCGAGCTTGCGTGAGTGGGAGGCAGACGGGCGGCGTGATGGCAGACGGGCGGCGAGAGAGGGAGACAGAGCTTCAAGGCCACGGGACTGAGAATGAGGAGAAGGAGATGATTCAGCGGGGGTTTTTTTTTCGCAAAACAGCCTAGAGGCCCGCGTGAGATGTCCAGCCTTATTTGGGTCCTTTCCGCGCGAGTACCGTTGGAGAGCCAAAATTGTAGATCTAGTACCTACGAGTTACGTTTTTTTGTTTGAATACCTATGTGTTACACACCTAATAGTTTAGGTACCCACGGTGCAGTTTACTCTATACAAAATTACTAGCGAGACTTTTAAAGTTTCTTTTCGATGATGGATTTTCATGTGACCTGTGGAGGATTCAGGTCTCTTGGAATACATAAGTCAAACATTACTATCTTTGAACACTCATTTTAGAAAATCCTTATAGTTTTACACCCCATGAATTATATATTATGAAAATATTTTTATAGTGCATCTATATATTTTTTTTTAGAATTGATGGTCAAAGATATAAATATTTGACTTATGACAAATCTAATACGACATGTAAATAAAAACACGTAAGGAGTATTGTTGTAGGGCAATGAAAGTACTGGCTTATCTATTTTTTTGAACGAAAAGGTTTATTTAATCTATGAATGCGGAGTTTTCTAGTTTCAAAATTTAACACTACAAGTTTGGCTATCGGAAACGTTGTATCATGATTTGCATCTTAAGGCATGGCATTACTCCCTCCATTTCAGAAAAAGCATTTTTAACTTCAACCAAATATGTAGAGAATATTAATATTTATGGTACATATTAGTGTCATTAGATTAACCAGTGAATATTTTTTTATAATAAACTTTTTTGAAGATACAAACATTGCTACTATTTTTTACAAACCTAGTTAAATTTAAAAAAGTTTGACTAGCACGAAACCCTATGTTATACTCTTTTTGAGGCCAATGGAGTCAAGTTTTCTTTGACCAAATTTGGCCTCGTTCTACTTTTTCTTTGCTTCTCTTTGTTTTCTCAAGAAAAACAGCATTATATTAATTTAATTGTTTTGTTACAAATTATGGCCTAGATGATTTCTAGAGGCTCCTAACACCAAAGTAGTCCATTGAACTAATCGGCTAGCCTAGCTGCCTTATTTCCCAACATGAGAAGACCTGCCTAGTGAGGGAATAACTGTAGCCAGGCATAGTTATCAGGTCACGTATAGTAGTATTACATAAACTATATTTCAATAAAATAAATTATTCTTTTAAAATAGTTTTTTTTTCTTCAATTGGGTTAGGGGGCACGAGGCCCACTGTTTCCAATGCCTCTTGTGAGTTGGGTCTGCCCACCTCCCGCTGCTCCACCGCACAGTTCTACTGAATGGAATGCAGTCACACTACCAACCGGTCCACTTGACGTCACCCGCGCCGGCAATAGCGCCGCTCTTCCCTCGCCGGCGCTGATGGTGCTGCCGCCTCCACCCGCTGGACCGATAGTGGCAGGTCTAGGATAAAAATAGAAAATTTACCTGTAGCGAACTTTGTACTACTAATTTATATGACCAAGCAATTATATAGATAAAATAAGAGATAATAATGGCCCCGTTGGTTTCGTTGAAAAAACAAGTTAAAACACTGTTCCGACTGATTTGTTGTGACGACTGAAAAGACAAGTAAAAAAGTACGGATTATAAAACAAGCGAACAGGGCCAATATGACCCAAATAAGGATACACTTATATATAGCCATAATGATGTCAATCTCATAAAAGATGTTTCGATTATTCTAAAGAAGGATTTTTCAGGTATAAATCATAATTTGTCATAAACATAACTGAAAAATATAACAAAACATTTGGATGATTAGTAACGGTGAATAAACATTCTAATTGAAGATTGAACATTTGTGCAGCAGTAGCAGAAGCTATTCCGGCACTTGGACCCGATAACCCAACATCATGCTAAAGTATCTCTTCGAGGCCCCAGCTATAAATCAACACGTTTCCAAGGTATCAGTCGCCTAAATCATGGCTTTCTGTTTTTTCTGTTCAGGTGACGCGGTTCTTCTTCTTCTTCAATCCATGTGGCATCAAACCTGTCTATTGGGTTCTATTTCATTCGGATAAACGATCCATTACAAGCTAGACCTGGTTACACGCTTTGAACCTGGAAGAATGGTTTGGTTAATTGTTAATGGTTCTCGTGCCAACACAAATCAAATTCTGTCTTTGTAGTTGTAACACCTCGGTGTTACACTGTAAGATCTTTTGCTAAAACATGTCATGAGCATCATGGTTATGTAATATAGTGTGTGAATCAATTTACGTAACTTAAAACGACTAACGGAAATGCTTAACGAAAGGCTGTTCGTGACGTATAAAATTATCAAGTACGGATGTTCGTGAATTTTTATTGAACGAGAACACTATAGAACGTATATACGAAACTTTGATAAAGTTGGAAGTATGAACGTTGTAGATAACGATGAAATACCTGCGGTCGAGAAATGAATTCACTAGCTAGCATACCGAATAGCTTGGAAATCGAATTTGACGCGAATCTGATCGAGACTTAAGTTGTTTTCGTAAGTCAGAAAAATGGTTTGACAAAGCTAGGTTTGGTGATTTTTGTAGAAAAATCGGGTTAAGGAGTGATAGGGTATTAAGGCTTGTTTTAGTAGCCTAGCATGCCCTCTTAAGCATAGCATAGGTGGTTTGGCAATTGAATCATCGAATTGGATTTTTGATACGCTTTAAAAAGCGTGCATGGCACGTTTTGGGCCAAGTTCCTCGCGTGGACGCGGTCACCGCGCTCCTGTGCCGTCGTCGGCGCGCCGGCTGCGCGAGCGAGCGCGCGTGCTTGGCCGAGCTTGGCTGGCTGCGGTGGCAGGCAGCACTGGCTAGCAATGGGCCCTCTTCTCCGCCGCGATGCACGCTGCCGCTGGCGCCACTGTTGGTGCCCTGGGGCCTCCCGCGTCGCGCTGTGCTCGGCTCTGCTCCACCAGACGTCGTCGTTGTCCACCCAGGTGCAGTGGCATCGCATGGCCGTAGCCGTCGTCACCAGCACGCGCACGTCTCCTCTGCGTCGCGTCGTCACATCACGTGCGCCCACGCCGCTTGTGTCGCGTCGCCACTGCCGTTGCTGCGCGCGCCTGCTGCACCGGTACATGGCCGTGTCGCCGTCGGCTTGCCAATTAAGGCGCTGCGGCCGCACGAGCCATGCTGACTCATACGCGCACGTGTAGCCTCCTCTGTGTGTCCTTGTCCGCTTCTATTGAGTAGCATGCGCCACTCTGCGCTCCCCGGTCACCTCCGCCTTTAATGGCGTCGCGCCGGTGTCGTCGAGCCACGCCTAAGGCCAGCTCGCAACGTCGGTCCAATCCTTGTAATTACGCACGCCATAAGCACATTTGGGAACCTAGCTACGCGCCAAGCTCGCCCATTGTTGCACCCTTGCCGTGTCGAGCCTCTAATTGAAGATTCCCCGCCGTCGGCCACCTTAAGACCGAACGGCGACGCCCATCCAATTAGCCTCGCACCGTCCACCTTAATTCAATTCCGTGGCACTATGTCTTCGCCCTGTTCCCCTCTATCCAGTGCGCACCCCATTTTCATAGCCACTGCCTTCCCGGTGCC